ATATCAGTGGGGGTACAGGAAAGGGTCTCATTGGAGGTGCTGGGGTGTTTAACCAGAAAGGCAAAGCCTTTGCCACTTTGCTATGCCACTCCCAAGGTGCGCCCAGCTTACAGAAGCACCGTCCACAGATGCAGAGTTCAAGCACTCAAACCAGCGATCAGAGCTCCTGCAGGAGCTGGGGGTGGAAGGGGGAGGGTCTCCCGGCTCCAGCATCTGAGATGAGTACATCCTCCCACGGGCAAGTGAAAAACAAAAGTTAAAGCCGGATGTGGGCCGGGCGTGGTGGCTCACGCCTGTAAAATATCAGCACTTTGGGAGGCTGAGGAGAGCAGATCACCTGAGGTCAGGAAACTGAGACAAGCCTAGCCAATATAGTGAAACCCCGTCTTTACTAAAATTTACAAAAATTAGCCGGGCGTGGTGTCACACGCCTGAATTCCCAGCTACTCGGGAGACTGAGGCAGGAGAATCACTTGAACCGGGGAGACAAAGGTTGCATTTAGCCGAGATCACGCCGTTGCACTCCTACCTGGGTGACAAGAGTGAAACCACGTCAAAAAAAAAAAGAAACAAAAAAACAATTGCCAGATAGGGTCTTGTGCACGGCTAGTCCCAGCTATTTGGGAGGCTGAGGTCGGAGGATCGCTTGAGCTCCAAATTCGAGAACAGCCTGGGCAAGACCCTGCCTCTTAAAATCACGCCCAAATCGTAGTATCAAATGTAAATGTTTGCACTCAAACGGACAGTTCATTACGTGGCACCGCGTCCTGTTGCGGATCAAGGCCACCTGAGTTGCTTAGGACAGCTAAGCCCACGTCTTGGGCTGCTCGCCAGCGGTGGGGCTAGATATGACCTTGTGCCCGAGCAGCCCAGCGTCTTACAACTCTGCTGTGAGGGACGGGGGCTGATTATCAGGTCCAGAATCACGAGTTTAGAAACATTAACAGGAAGTACGGTACCGAAAAGTGGAAAACTTTAAGGTGCTTATTATTTTTCTCCTGACTTGTTCCTGTATGTGCCGCTCCACGGGTATCACGTCCCGGGTCCAGTGGGACCCTGGCCTGGCTGCCCTACCGGAAGCGAAGCGAACTCCACCCCCAGGGGCAGCCGTCGGGCCTCAGTCCAGTCTACATCGGGAGAGCGTGGCCCATGCCACAGGCAGCTGGTTGGGCCCCTGGTACAAGTGTAGGGCCTGCAGCCAGGCTCGGGGGCTCCGGGGGTGCCCGCTGGCTGGGGTCTGAGGCGGCTTCTCTCGGGTACGAGAAGGCCGACTGCTGTGCAGCCGCGGGCTCGCTCGGGAAACCCATACTTACACAAAAGCGGCAGCACCACTGTGCCAAGGCTATCGACTCCCAACATGGGGAGACAAAATGGCCGCCGCGCCCAGAGCCGAAATTACATCCGGGCTCCGCGACACGTACGAACCACAACTCCCAGAATGCTGTGCCTCGACGGCGGGAGGCGAGACGCGCTCGGGCCCCGCTTAGGCGGCGCTAGGCCCTGTGGCTCCTCCCTGCAGCGGAAGGCCTTCGAATACGCGGCGTCTTAGGTCGCTTCCTCCATTCTTCGTTGCACTGGCCAACGGGACGCTTAGTCTTTTGGCAACGGGGTGAAACCTGCCTTGTGCCTGAAGAAACGATACTTCCCGTTGTGGTTTCGGCGCCTGCGCAAAAGGCTGCGGGACGCACTCCAGTTCCCGGCAAGCCCCGCGACGCGCGTTTGCGTGCTGACGCACGGAGTTAGTCGTGCTGACGTGCAGCGCGGCCCAGGCG